CAAATATAAATGCTGAAAATTTTGTCAATGCATTTAAGAGGTGCATGTGTGCTCGATGCACTCCAGAAGAATTTGAAAATGAGTGGAAATCAATGGTTGAATCATTTGGACTGGAGACAAACAATTGGATAGCGGAAGTTTATGCAAAACGATTCAAATGGGCCGAAGCGTACTTGCGAGGAAAATTTTTTGTCGGCTTAAAAAGCACGCAACGATCGGAGAGTATGATTGCCTACTTGAAACGCTTTCTAAAAATAAGCCAACGATTATTCGAGTTTGTTAGACATTATGACAGGGGCTTGGCAAGGATCAGGGAGTGTGAGGCCAATAATGACTTTGAGTCGGAACATTCGAGGCCAGTGATGCAGACTGCATTGAGATGCTTAGAGGAGCATGTTGCTGCTCTGTATTACCAGAAAGATTTTCTTCAAGGTCCGTGATAAGATACGAGAAGAAGCTGTATTTTTTGTAATGGATAAGATCGAGATTGAAAGTCATCAGAGTTACTATTTGTCTCGATTCACAAAACCAGAATCACGGTGGATTGTGTGATATTATCCTCAAATTGATGCGTTTAAATGCAGTTGCATGAAATTTGAGTCTTTTGGGATTCCATGCTCTCACATGATCGCGGTCATGAAGTATGAGCACATACAAGAGTTTCCTCATACCATTGTGATGGACAGGTGGACCATTAAAGCAAAATCTAGGTATAAATGTGCACATGAATGTGGTAACGTGCAGCCGAATGTGTCAATTCCTACGCGTTATGCTGGACTTATGTCAATGTGCAGCCAAATGTGTTATTACGGTTCACATTCGCTCTCAGACTCAAATGACCTGAGGAGTATGGTGCAACAAAGAACTTCTCTTCTAAAAGCCCGTCATGAGTCACTTGGCAAACACGATGCAAATGTGATGACTACACAATTCGGTGTGAATGATCCAAAGATTGTGAAAACCAAAGGTAATCATAGTCGTGCACAAAAGAATATTCCAATTAACCCGCGAAGATGTAGTAAATGCAGGGGCACTGGCCATACTATTAGAAAATGTCCACTCTTGACGTCTCAATCCAATGATCCATTCGAGGATATGCCCTTTTCACAACCAGTTGGATCACAGCCACCATAGGACATTCCTTTTTCACAACATAGTGGATCAGACCAACCACCCCACATGTCTTTTTCACAGCATGGTGGATCGCAACAATATATGCCATCATTGAAAGAGGATGATCGTTGCATTCCCTTTGTCAACGAGGGTATCCTCAACTATAGGTTCATATAATACTCTTTGGATGTTTATATTTTTTTTCATATGTACTTATTCCTTGTTATTTTAGGATGGGCTGTTAAGCTTTGATTCTACCATTCAATCACAGTACATCAACACTAGTTTCAATGGATGTAATTACAAAAATTACAAATTTTATCCCACAAATTTTTTTTTCCACCATTGTCATCTAACCATCAATTTATGCTATCATAGTGGGCACCAAGATCATGGAGCAAGATGGGTTGAAGAAATTTTAATTTTTTTGCAACTTTGAATGAAAAGGTTTAATTTACATTCTCCATTCCAAGTTTTTTTTTTTTTTTTGGACGAAGAAGAGGGCAGGAAAAGCATATTATGAGTTGAGTATTGCTTGTAAAAACATATTTTCCTCTTCGCTTTTTTGTTGCTTTGGTGAGTATTGCTTGTTAATTTCTACTATTATGAGTTATTATAACAGTCTAAGCCATAGCCATGATTTTTCATGCACCAATGCCGAACGAAATATGTTTTATTGTGCATTCCCACAAATTTTTGGTTGTAACATTATCACTTTTATTTGGTAAGATTACCAATTATTTGAGATAAGATTACCACTTTTGAGGGAAAGATTACCATTGTTTTAGTTAACATTATCATTTTTATTAAGAGTACCATTTTTTTTTTTGGTTAATATTACTATTTTTTTGGTTAAGAGTACCATTTTTTTGGTTAAAAGTACCACTTTTTTTTGTTAATATTACCACTTTTTTGGTTAACATTACCACTGGTTAAGAGTACCATTTTTTTGCTTAATATTACCACTTTTTTGGTTAAGAGTACCATTTTTTTTGTTAATATTATCATTTTTTAGTTAAGAGTACCACTTTTTTGGTTAACATTACCACTAGTTAAAAGTACCATTTTTTTGGTTAACATTACCACTGTTTTGGTTATGAGTACCACTTTTATTGATAACATTACTAATTTTTTGGTTAAGAGTATCACTTTTTTGATTAACATTACCATTGTTTAAGTTAAGATTACAACTTTTTTGGTTTACATTACCACTATTTTGTTTAACATTACCATTTATTAGGTTAAGTGTACCACTATTTTTTAGTTAAGAGTACCACTTTTTTGGTTAAGAGTACCACAATTTTGGTTAACATTACCATTGATTAGGTTAGCACTACCACTTTTTTGGTTAATATTGTTTTGGTTAACATTACTATGGATTTTTTGTTGAGAGTACCACTTTTTTTGTTAACATTACCACTGTTTTGGTTAATATTATCATTTTTTTTGTTAACATTACCACTTTTTGGGGTGGTTAAGATGACAACATTTTTGTGTGTAACATTATCACTTGTATTTGATAAGAATACCACCTTTTTTCTATAAGATTACCCATTATTTGAAGCAAGATTATCACTTTTTTGGGTAATATCATCAATTTTTAGGGAGGATTACCACTTTTGAGGAACATATTACTACAGACACTATTTTTACCAAAATAAAAAAGTAACTGTTTACAGAAAACAAAACTAGAAAAATAGATTTTCTGTTGCAAATTCTAAGACAAAAACCAAATAAAACTGATACATTTTCCTGAACCAGCTGAAAATACGCCAAGCAGTAACTCTTCAGCTTCCACCCTCCAAATCCAACAGGATATTGACAACTCAGAATCAGCCCACACCACAGCTTTGCAACATCAGAGGCTCTGCAGAAGCAGCTCAACAGCTCCAAGACTAGCCCAGCAATCAGCAACACTAGTTCAGTAACTCAGCAACTCCAGGATACTAAGCCCAACAGGAATAGCTCAACAGCAACAGGTACCAACTCTAGTTCACTGCATACAACACCCCAGCAAACACCTATTCAACCTTTATCATCAAATACCATAGAAGTCTTAGTGCGTAAAATACGAAGACCTCTTTCATCTTGCAGCCTCTGCCTGACAGCACTGGAAGCTGGCCACTTACAGAAAATTCAATAAACTATATAATCCATGATCCAAAGTAAATTGTATACTCAGCCTGAAACTGTATAATTAGCTTGAAAATTCAGTAAACTGGAAAATCAGCTTCTTTATCAACATGATCCAAAGTAAACTGTAATCTGCTCAACAAAGACTGAATTTGTTCCAAAAGACTCAGCAAATGCCAAGCACAACCCATAAAGCCCTTAACAGTCCTGACTAAAAAAATATTACATAATTCCAAACAAGAACATTAATGACAATTTGTTCCTTGTTTCAGTCTCACTGCTAGACACAATGGTGACAACACCAAGCACCAGAAATAAACTGTAATGAGAAGATCAACCTCGGCGTTTAAAATTGAATTCTTTACATGATCCTCTAAAAGACGGGACCGTTCTTTGTCTCTCTCAAGACTCCTCAAATCCACCATAATCCCCAAAACAAAAGGGTTGAAAATAATAACACGGGTATTATATACAACGAAGGAAACAATACGGCACAATCACATTAATTCCTTGTACATTGTAGGATATTTCCTCATCATCACACAGTGAAAAATAGATAATATTGTCACCACCTTTCACTGAATAATAAGAAATGTCTTTAGTGAATAATGCACAAAAACTGATAGAGAGAGAGAGAGATGGAAATCCATATGCATATATTTGTTTCATCATATTTCACTACTGCTACTTCAATTATTGTATCAACAACCAACAACTACAATTACATATAATTCTCACTTCCTAGCTATTTCTTTGCTTTTCATAAAAAAAAGACTCAACTCTATCCCACCTACTATCTATATTATCCAACCTACTATCAATCACCTTGAGAGACTCCTTTATTTCATTTTGAGTATTTCCAAATTCCTCCATCATTCTTCCCATTCGTATCATCACAGATGCATATATAGACAATCATTCATCCAATGAAGGAAGACCACTTGTGGAAGAATTTGGGACAGCTTGGGCTGCAATATTATCCTCAGGTGCAACTTCATTTTGGATTTCAACTTGTGGCTGTTGCGGTTGAGTTTTCTTATTCTTCTCTTTCCCCAAACTCTGTTGTGGCTAAGTTTTCTTATTCTTCCCTTGTCTCAAACTCTTTTTTTATTGTCCCACCATTAATTGGATTCATGGGAGTAGAATAAGCATCGCTGGAGTGAATCACAACTCTACAATCCTCCATAATCTTTGAAATCAAAATTGGAAATGAGAGACATTTTCGACTATCCGTGTGCTGAAATAATTTCATCAATTATTAAACAAGGTAGATCTATACTCATACCCATTCCAATGGCATACAAGAGATAAGCTCGATCAAGTCCAAAATCAGCATTATGTGCAATTGGACGAATATTGTACCCAACTATAAGGTTTAAAATCCTATATTTAGGAGTCAGGTGTTGCTGAAAAATTGATGGATCAGTAACTCTCTCACTAAAATTATTAGGTATACCCTCGATTTCTGTATAAATATCTTCCAACTTAGGTATGTGCTTAGAATTATTGAATGGATAAGAAAGTGTATCATCATGAAGGAAGGGTCGGTGAACTCCCAATATTTTTGAAACTAAATCTGGGGTTACTTCAAAACTCACCTTCCTCACAAGGGACTTAAACTTGTGATTAACTTTATCAATATCATGCAGGTTAGAATAAAATATCTTCACCAATGTATTATATGTTTTATCCATCTTCTTGATATAAACTGAAGAATTCTATCGATGAAGAGCAAAAATAACATCTAATCCTACATCTTTTAATTCATCCAGTACAACACCCCTCTCCAATAACAAAGGCCTATTATAAAAGCAATTATCATACCGATGTTTGCAATCATCATTGAAGAAAGATATGTCTTCATTAGATGAACTTGTTGGATTGGGGTTGGATGAACTTGCTGGATTGGGATTGGGGTTGGGTGAACTTGATGTATTGAATGAGGGATCAATTGGATTGGTGGAGGTGGGATGAACTATTGAAGACGGATCAACGGAGAGAGGATGATTACATTTCTTCTTCTTCTTCGAGGGACCTCCCTCATTACAGCTCTCCTTCCTCTTCATTTTTTCACTGGTATCAACTTTTGGCCTATACTTCTTGGTCATTATACTTTGCTGTAACAAGAAAAAAATCTGCAATAACATGGAACATTATCTATTACGTTTGAGCAATAACAATTAACAATTGAGCAACTTTTGAGCAATTGCAATAAACTGTCATTCACAAAAAACATAATTCTCAACCACATATATAATACTCAAAATAATTAATCAGCCAAGAATTCAACCCATTTCAAGTGATCAAGCAAAAAATGAACACAAACTATAGGGAAGAAACAACCCATGAATCAAGCCATTAAGCAAAAGAAAAAAGTATCCCTACTTTTAGGTTAGTACGAATAGATATCAAGCAATAAATTAAATACAATAACAGTAAATCAAAGAACTAAAAGAAACGATTTGAAATATATTATTTGATGGACTATGGCAGTGGCTGCGGGTATGGGACTCCATCTTTGAATTAAAGGCTTGAATGATTTACCAACTCAAACTTTCATTTCTCTGTTTTAATAAAGTGACATTGTTCAAGTTCTTTTGAATCATATGTTTCACCATTTTTGCCTTCTTTCTTCCTTTTTTTTAAAGCTTCGACTAAGTTCTCATATATGTGTGTTCTGTGATAAATAGTGTGTGCTCTGTGTGCATCAAGTGTGTGCACAATGCACGGTGAGTGCTCTGCATATGGAACACCTCTGTGGCATTTGATCAAACACTTGATGGACATTATGCGAAGTGAGTGTTTGGAAGAGAAACAGAGGCAGAGGAGAGTGGCAATGGAGAGATAGAAAAAAGCAGTGGAGAGAGAAGCAGAAAGAGAGAGCGAGGGAGAGAAGTAGAAAGTTTCAGCATGTACCTGGAATCAATCGGAGCAGCAGAGAGTTCTGACATAGAGTCCGTGTAGTATGAGCAGCGGAGAGAGATGAAGACAGCGAGACAGAGCAATGATTGGAATCAATTGTTTTGGGTTTTCACCGATTTGGGGTTTTGGGTTTTCACCAGTTGGATTTTCACCAATTTGGGAGGTGGTTGATCCAAAAATGGTTGTGATTTAGGGTTTTGGTATGCAATGAGGTTGGTTTTTCACCAATTTGGGTTAGATTTGGGGTTTGATCGCTGATTTAGGGTTTTGAGGAATTTGGGGGAATAGAAGACAAGGGAGTTGAGAGTGACTTGAGAGTCTTGAGCGATTTGGAGTTATCTCTTATCTTGATCACTAACAAAAATCCCGATCGCGTATGTAGCGATCGGTAGCGATCAAGTTGCAAAATAATTTCGCTGGCTAATCTCGATTGCTCAAGATATGTCCAATAAATTTCACTTATACCCCTAATTTTAACTTAACCCAAAATATAACCCCAACAAATGACAATTTTACCCAAATATTGTAAAATTTTCATTATATTTTTATTTCAGGTTTAAATATGATAAATAACTATCATTTTTTAAAACTAATTTTAATTTCTATTATCACTTAAAATAGTGGTGAACTTAGATAATCTAATCTAACCTCATAATATTTTTAACTTAATCTAAAATGGTATATTTAATGTCACTCAATAACCCCAAATATTGTATATTTTTCTTATATTTTTATTTCGTGTTTAAATATAATAAATAATTATCATTTTAATTTATATTATCACTTATTTTTAAAGTGTAAGAGATTCATATTTAAATTTTTTAAAGTGTATAGGGGTTCATGTTCATGTTCACTTAATAACCCCAACTATTGTAAATTTTTTCTTATATTTTTATTTCATGTTTAAATATAATAAATAATTATCATTTTAATTTATATTATCACTTATTTTTAAAGTGTATAGGGTTCATGATTAAATTTTTTAAAATGTAAAGGATTCATGTTCACTTATTTTTAAAGTGTATAAAGGTTCATGTTCACTTATTTTTAAAGTGTATAGGGTTCGTGTTCATGTTCACTCAATAACCCCAATTGTAAATTTTTTCTTATATTTTTATTTCATGTTTATACCGAAACCGGTGAAACCGGTTATAAATTTTTATAAAATTTAGAGTGTACACGTGACGAACATCCGATTCTTTTAACTTTTCAATACGTTACTCATTTTTACGTTTTCAGAACCCAAGCCTACTCCCACTTTAAGGCCCACACTCAAAATTGAATCGAAGCTATCACATCATCTTCAAGTGTTGTGTGTGCACAAAAACGCTAGAACAAACCCACATGCAAGTATTAAATTGCACTTAAAATATAACAAAAGCAAAACTGAGGACTAGTTTGTGTAATTTATTTATTTATTTTTTTCAACGTCCACAATTATTTGAGATTTTTTACGTATATCTTGATTAATTTTTTTTTTACAGTTTAATAAAAGACAGATTATCTATGCCAAAATTATACTATTAATGAGAGATAAATTCTTTACGATCTGACATAAATGAATTGTCAAGATTTAAACTCAAACGTATAGATTATTGTAATTTATTTTAGAGAAAATTTCAATCATACCTCATTTACTTTATCATATCTTTAAGGACATATTCTTTAAGTTTTGAATTTTCACTGAAACCCCATGTCAAATTAAAGACCTTAATTAGAATATAATTTTATTAAATTGTCTATGATATATTTTAGAAAAACCTTTATTCACACATCTTCTAGATAGATATATCTTCAATGAGACCTCATTTATTTTATAAATTTTTTTACGTATTAAATTTGGGTCAACTAAAATGAGATTCGAGCCAAATAAAAGTTGTTTTTAATCGGCTCGAATGAGATTTTAATCAATTTGTATTAGATTTTAATTGTCTCAAATTTTGATAAATAAAAAAAATATAAATTTTAATCGATTCAAATTTTAATATGAAAAAAATGATTTTTAATCTCAACTTAATTGAATTTTAGTTGCAAGAATTTTAATAAGAAAAAAAAATATAAATTTTAATAAACTTGAATGAAATTTTAATTGGCTCAATAGCTCAGGTTAAATTCAAATCGAATCGAATTTTAATACGTACAAAAAATAATTTTAATAGTCTTGAATTTTAATACTTAAAAAAAAAATTTAATCAGCTCGAATTTTAATATATAAAAAAAATAAATTTTAATGTGCTCGAATTTTAATCAAATTTTATGTAACAAGATTGTTTGAGGTTTATGTAGGGACAATTTTAGTATTTTAAATAAATTGTATTCGTTATAAATGATGGTTTAATGGTAAGTGGTGTTATTGATGTTTAAATATAAACTATGAGTGGTGTTAGTGATATTTTGGATAATAGAGAGGGTATTCTTGAAGATATGATAAATTAGAGGGGGTGTGTCTTAGATTTTCCATTTATTTTAAAATTGGTTAAGAAAGTCATTTTAATTTTAAACACGTGTCAAAAAATGACTGGTGAAACAATTTATCTTCCCTGCATCGGAAACCACCTGATCTAAGAGAATATCTTGGGGCATACTGCATACAGCATCTTTTTCCGCCAAAAAAATCCAACTTTATCTCAAAAATCCAACACCCACTCTCCTGATGCAACTACCCATTGCGACGCGCCCCTTTAAACGCGTGGAGGACACCCACCTCGAATGTGACATCCTGCTTTTAGAGTAAATAATAAATATTGAATGTTGCAGTTATACCACGCATAACCGTCACATAGTAAAACCACTCGACGAAATAAATATCAAATAAATAAAGTGTAACTCACTTTTATAAATAGAGTAATTGTTTTTTTTAACGATAAGGACTTTCGAACTAATTTATGTATAAATTGACTAATTTTTTTTGATTTCATCACAGAAAAGTCATCTATATCAGAACTAGAATATTTATGATTGATAAATTTTTCATGCTCTGATCCTAGAATTGCCAATATTTGAAGTCATGACATCTGAGTTTACAGCTTGAACTACTTTTAGAGTCGATGAATAGATATTTAACTATGTAAAGTCTATTTCTTGTCTTATTATTAAACAATTACACCATATCAACATGACGGCGGAATGAAACGTGACCCGATATTTACTCTTGCTTTTAGACTTTCGGCTGGATAGGAAATAATAGGATTCTTATTCAAATTAAGAATTTCCAAAAAATGAAATTGAATTGTCTGGATAGATTAAACTCTCTTGTAAATGCTTATATATTGTCGAAATTTAAGCATTATTTTATTTTTCTTCAATTTATCCGAACTTTTTAAAAACTGTGAGAGCAATATTATTCACACAAAAACCGTTTTTATTTGAATTTTTTTTATTATCAAATTTCTTTTTTCATTGCAACTATGACAACAAAATTAAAACTATATTTTTGCATCATGAGATAATTTTAATAAACCTAGTTTTCATAATAAAATCCATCCAAGCACATCAAATTCTTTACTTTGGTTACATTCGACTTTCAATTTGGCATTTTAGTTTCTCTCTTTACCTAATTATTTTTGTCAGTAAAATTTTTTAATGAAAGTAACCACATTTTATTTTTTTAGATAGTATCACACAATCACTTTTATTAAAAATTTAATAGATCGTTTATATATATGATTATATTTTAAAATTTTAATTAATAAAATTAATACAATAAAAACTAAACTAAAATAACTCGCTTGCTTGAAGGACCAATGTTAATGGCCTCTTTGGCTCGATGGAAAATAGGGTGGACAGAAAATAGAGTAAATGGAGAATGTATCATTTGTTTGGTTCCAATGGAAAAAGGGATGGAATGAAAAGAAGGGCGGAAACACACTTCACTCCGACGGCCAATCTGTTTCCTCTCAAAATTAGAGAGAAAATGGGACAAAAAAAGGAATCTAATAAGTCCAGTTGGTATAATTATATTTATTCCCTCATTACTCAAAGGATGAAAAGTCTGGCACTCTAAACTTTTCATCCCTGTGTCTTTTCGTCCCTCTTACAAAACGGACCTATACAAAAAAAACAATCATTACGATAACTCTTTGGTAAACGAAGCCAAACTGTACACAGAGTTCTGACCAGTTAGATTGTAGATGAGGCGCTCAAAATTCACGTGAGTCACACTACCATTCCAAAATCGGCACACATCAACGGCCTCAACCCCGCCACGTCACACTTTCTTTCAAATCTAACTCAATAACTTTCCTCTATAAAATTATCTCTCTGACAAGTTTCTCTTTCTCTCTTCTCTTCCCTGCACCCAACTGCTAGCTCTCTTCCTTCAATGCAACAACTCTAATGGCTTCAACCTCCACATAGGTTACGCAGTCACACACACAAGCATAAATATATGTACGTATAGATCAATAATTGTACGGAAATGGATGAGAGCTGGTTGGATTTCATGAGCAGACCAGCGGTGGTTGAAACATTCGTCGACTTATTGCTATGTTCAGTGCCGATTTGGGTGGCGATTATGATCGGGCTTGTGATCGGTTGGTCGTGGCGGCCTCGGTGGACTAGTTTGGTGTTTCTTGGCTTCCGGTCAAAGCTACGGTTCGTATGGACAGCGGTTCCGCCGGGGATTGGCGTCGGGCGTCTCTGGTTCGCGTTGTCGGCTCTCTCGGCATTTTCTGTTGGTCGAAGGCTTTGGTTCAGTTTCATGGTCAGGAAGTGTAGGGAATCCGGCGCGGCTTTGGCTCCGGAGTCGGTGGCGCCGGGTCAGTCGGTGGGGAGTGGTAGCGAAATCGAGTAAGCTTCCATCTTGATTTCATTCCGTTACAGATTTTTTGATTGTTTTACTCATTATACCAATGAGCTTGGTTGGAGTATGCTTATTATGCATGAGTGAGTTGTGATTGATTTTTTAGGGTTTTCTGTCAAAGTTACTTGGTGAGTGTGTGTAATTTGATGGCTGGGGTTGCAATTGTATGTGTGAGATTTGTGTTTTCAAGTTTTTAAAATTGCAGTTCCGTCGGTGTTTGGGAGAGGATTTTAGAAATTAACTTCTGATTGTACGAAATTGTTGATACTAGTATATTTTTTGATGGTCATACTTTTGTTTTAGATTAACATTGCTACATTTCCCAAAATATTTTTCAAATTTTGTATTCCACATGAATGTGGATGGTAATAGGATTCATGATCCAACTATCCACCTTGTTGAGGTAGTTGATAGTTTAGGAGAACTCGCGTGTGTGGTTGGTGTTATCTTAGAAGAAATTGTATGTGCATTGGTTGTATTGATAATTAAGGTAGCAATATTCGTGGAGTCGCATTGGGTTTGGCTAATCTACTATTTAGCTGTACAAGACAATGGAGATTGGAATTGGGACACATAGAGAGAGACTCTGTCGCGCTAGTTGAGATAGTGGTCTACTCATGGCAACGAACGTACAATGCACATGAGCGTTCATTGGTTGTCAAGGGTATCCTTTAAAGGAAGCGGAAGATTTGTTTCTTTGTGAATTACTGTGTTTTCCTTTCATGGTTGATTAAACACAAGACATGGACAAGTTTATTTAGTAATTCTATGTTGTTGGGTGCGGAAAAATGGAAAGTCTTCCTTTTTGGAGCAATACAGAAGAATTCTATACATGGTGTCACACTAGGATTGATTTAGCCATACAACACAATGAATATGGGGTTTGAGAGAGGGAGAGAGAGTCACTATTTGAGACGGTGGTCTACTTGTGGTGGCGCACGTGTAATGAGCATGAGTGGTTGTTTATTGTCAAGGAGATATATTTTACAGGAAGCAGGATATTTTGTTTGTTTGTTGGTTGTTGAGGCTTCTTTATATGGTTGATTAATTACAAAATATGACAAGTTTATTTAGTAGTTCTTTATGGTTGGGTGCAAAAAAATGGAAAGTTTTCCATTTAGAAGGATACGGATGAAAGATTGACACGTTGAGGTGTCTAGTGTTGCAAATACAAGAAGATTCAATAATGTCACCATTATAGTGAGCCTTTTGTCATGCAAAATAAAGTTCCTTGTTGTTTCATAAATTGAAGTTCCAAGAAGAATTTTTGCCTTCTTTTATTGGTGAGTGAAATTAAATGTTACAAAAAAAGTCAACACTTCACATATAGCCCAAGAAAAGAGCTGACACAATTTCTTCAACTATTGGATGGTGCATGATAGGGAGTGACGGATAATCTGGGTCAACCCTATACCACAATGTTTTTGAGGTAGTTGGTATATTAGAAGAATTCGTGTATGTTGTAGTTGATATTATATTAGAAAAATCATGTGTGCATTGGTTGTTTGATAGTCAAGTTATCGAATTGTTCATGTTGTTGCACTAGGCTAGGATTGGCTGATATGCTATTTAACCATACAAGAAAATGTAGATGGGTTGGGGGAAGGGGGGGGGGGGGAGGAGAGAGAGAGAGAGAGAGAGAGAGAGAGAGACTTGCTAGTTGAGCTAGAGTCTACTCATGGTGATGCACTTGTAATGCACAGAAGTGTTTATTAGTTGTCAAGGAGATATAGTTTGAAGGAACCGATAGAGTTTGTTGCTTTGTGGGTTGTTGGTTCTTCCTTTCATGGTCATTAATTACAAGACATGGACAAGTTTATTCAATAATTCTATGTTGTTGGGTGCGAAAAAATGGAAAGTCTTCCATTTATGACGATATGAAAGAAGGATTGGCGCATTGAGGTGTTTGGTCTTGCTTAAATAAGAAGATTCAAGAATATCATCATTATAGTGAGTCTTTTGCCATGCAAAAGGAAGAGGCTATTGTAAGTATCATAATCCACGTGGTTTCTAAAAATGAAAGTTCTGAGAAGATTTTTTCCTATATTTTTGGGTGAGTGAAATTAAATGTTACAAAAATAGTCAAAACTCCACATATTGCCCAACAAAGGAGCTAACACAATTTCTTAAGCTTAATAGTCTATTTGGTGTGGTGGAAAATTGGGTGGATGGAATGGAGAGGCTGACAAGACTCATTTTTCTATTGTTTGGTTAGAGTGGAAAATAAGAGGATAAGCAAAGTGAGAGGGAAAAGCAGTACCTTCCACCCACAAAAAAATTCCATCCCGGGCAAAAAAAGGCTAGAAAGGAAGAGCTCTAGCCATTACAATAATAATTTTACTATTTTGTTCTTTTCAAGGAATATTATATAAATGCCATCGATCACAACACATGTGAAAGCCACAATTTTATTACTTTTTTATCCAACATTTCGTAAGCATTAATAATTGTCACCTGCCATTTCATTTGCACAGACACCAAAAAAAAAAAAAAAAAAGAGATCAAAATCTATTTCATATGCAAGAGTAAAATTGTAAATTAAGTTAATATGCGTTTTCTTTCATTTCATTTTTCCTCCAACACCAGACAATAGTAATATAATCCTTCCAACTCTCCATCCATTGTACCAAATAAAAATGAGAGAAAATCCTTCCTTTAAGAATGGAAAATCTATCCCTTATATTTTTCTATCATTCCTATTTTCTATTCCTCCTACTAAATAGACCATAAGACTTAAAAGGATTATTGGATGGTGCATGATGGGAGGTGATGGATAATGTGGTTCCACCCTATACAACATTATTTGAGGTAGTTGGTATTCTAGAAGAAATCGCGTGTGCATTGCTTGTGTTGATAATTAAGGTAGCAATCTATTCATGGTCTCCCACTGGGATTGGTTGATGTGCTATTCAGCCATAAAAGATGATGGAGATGGGGTTTGAGAGAGAGAGAGTGTCTCGGTAGTTGAGATAGTGGTCTACTCGTGGTGACGCACGTGTAATGCACATGATCATTTATTGGTTGTCAAGAAGATATAAATTGAAGGGATCGAGAGATTTCGTTGATTTTTGGGTTGTTGATACTTCATTTCTGATTGATTAAATACAAGATATAGACAAGTTTATTTAGTGATTCCATGTTGATGGGTGCAGGAACAAGGGAAGTTTTCCATATGTAACAATACAAAAGAAAGATCGGTGCATTGAGGTGCCTAGTCTTGCTAATACAAAGAAGATTCAAGAATATCACCATTATAGTGGAACTTTTGCCATGCAAAAGGAAGAGAATATTATAAGCATCATAATCTATGCATTTTCTAAAAATAGAAGTTCCAATAAGAATGTTTCCTTCCTTTTTGATTTATTACTATATATGGACAAGTTAATTTAGTGATTCTGATTCTATGTTGTTGGGTGCATAAAATAGAAAGTCTTCCATTTATAACAATACGAAAGAAAGATTCCAAACCACTATGAATATTGAATACAAATTGTGTAGACGGAGTAGATATAGAAAGTTTGTCGTGCGTGATTTCATAAGATTCTATACTAGCTTTAGTATATTTTTTCATTTAGCTTGCCTTTTGCATGACTTTCCGGATCAACCAACCCAGATCTGCCCTCACAAGTCTCTCTGCATTTTGGGAGCAGCGCATGCAGCAAAAATTGAGCAATGAAGCTTAGCAAATAAAATAACATCTAACACATGAATCTAAGTGCGATTTAGACCGAAAGCTGAGTTATCAATACTTTCTCTACTTATGTGAAGTTCTTTGTAGATGTAATAAGTAGTTCAATTCATTGATTGGTGCTCATCACTATGAGCCCACTATGGCTTTCACAGCTTCACCCAAAATTTGTGGCAGAACATACAAATTTGTATTTCCTAAAATAGATAACTTTGTCATGACCATATGCTCTGATGTCTGTTCGCTAGTTTGTGGACTTATCTATGTTGCTGTCATATTTCATAAACATTGATGGATGTCTCCTTTTGATTGTTGAGTTGAATTTTTGTAGTACCTATAAAACATTCATGGGCCTCCTTTTCTTTATAGTTTGACAAAGTGACTTTGTGATTTCATTTGTTTTTCACCAATATATTAAATTGTGACATCTGATTTATTGAGTGAATCAGTTCAAAAGCTTTACCTTTTCAGCAGGCCCAGTACTGGAAGTTCAGAGGCAATTCAGTGTATTGTTACACAGAAAGATCTGGAACACCTACTTCATCTTCTCGATGGGAAGGATGGGCAGATGGTGTGGCAAAATTTGATGGAACACTCCACTTCAAACATGACATACCAAGCTTGGCGCCATGAGCAGGTAGAATTTGACCATGATTTTTGCTTTTCTATAACAGAATTTGCTGAGAAAGTGACAATTGTTTTGATAGCTTTTGCCATTGACTTTGATGTATGGTCATTTTTGTTTAGTTGTTGGAAGAATTTATGTAAGTCTTGGTATTTTAAGAGTCATATGATATTAGTGTATATGGTAAAAGAATTTCTAATTGTATGCGAACCAAAATACTTGTGTTAAAGATGACATGACTGGGGACATGGCTGGGCCTTCTTGCAGACACACTGACCTGCATGCAGACACGAGTTTTAACAGCTTGTCTGACCAAAGGAGGGGAAAATATCTTAGATCCACTTATTTCCACACAAGACTTCATTAAATCCCATATGGGTGTCGAATATGGGAGTTATTCATGTTTACCATGAGGAGGAAAACAGATGTGTGATTGCCTTATTTAACAAAATTGCAAGCTGTAGGCTTTTATGGTGAGGTATTATTGCAACCCTTTATACCTATTTATTTATCTTTATTTTGGAGATTTCATATAAGGTGGCATAATTAATTTGTCAAGTTGCAAAACACCTTTGTTTCTGGGATTTTGCGCAATAGCCTGCGGATTGGAATGTGTTTCCATCCATAATTTTGTGACTTGGGTTAATCTCTGTAATTATCCTTTGTCCTGGTTGCCTAGTGTTGTTTTCTGAGTTTTGATGTATCAGATGCATTTTGGCACATCTCTTCCATTTAATTCTCTCCTACACTCCTAGTGTATTAGTAAGAAATAGGTATCTTCCCATTCTCACTGTTGCTTGCAAGTTCATGCACACTATCAACTGATGATGCGCTGCTTATCAGATGAGCCCCATAGTGTACCGTACCAGAACTGTCTTTGAGGATGCAACTCCAGAGTTGGTTAGAGATTTCTTCTGGGATGATGAGTTTCGACCTAAATGGGATACTATGCTTGCATACTTCAAAATATTGGAGGAATGCCCTCATACCGGGACAATGACAACCCATTGGATAAAAAAGGTCTTTTTAAACATCTGCGTAGAGCATCAGTATCATTTGATTTGCTTATTCCAAGTGTCTAAATTGGTCTTCTTCCTCTTTGCAGTTCCCGCTTTTATGCAGTGATCGAGAATATATCATTGGTCGAAGAATATGGGAAGCTGGAAAGGCATACTACTGCGTGACCAAGGTATACATTTCTTGGGCTAACTTCAAAAAGAATTTCAACCCATAAGCAAGTGTAATGAGATTGATTTACTAGTTAGCAACTGTTGTTATTGTTGAAAACGTTCTTGTAATGCTATTATCATGTGGTTGCTGCATGTTCATGTACTTTGTGACTATCAATGTATTGTCTGTTGCCTCCAATCGGTTTACGTATGACACATCTCACAGTGCATTTTTGTAACATCTTTTCTCTTTACCTTTTGTACTCGTTTTGCACTTGCATTACCCATCATGTTTTATGGACTATGGAGTTGAACTGTAACCTGCAATGCTGCAGGGGGTGCCATATCCGGCTTTGCAGAGACAAGACAAGCCTAGGCGTGTGGATCGGTATTTTTCAAGCTGGATTATAAAGCCTGGTACATAATGTCCAATAACCCCTTGCTACGCTTGCAACACTTTTGACTGCAACTAATTTGGATATTGATCTCCAACATTCTCTAATGGATGCAGTGCTATCCTGTAAAGGAGACGGGCTCTTGTCTGCGTGCGAGGTGACCCTTGTCCATCATGAAGATATGGGGATCCCCAAGGATGTGGCTAAATTGGGCGTCCGCCATGGGATGTGGGGAACTGTCAAGAAGTTGCATGCCGGGTTCAGAGCATATCAGCAGGCAAGAAAGTTGGAGGCACCGTTATCCCGAAGTGCGCTTTTGGCAAGAATCACGACGAAGATTCAGTCCAGTGAAACTGCTTATTCTTTGGAGCCGGTGCCTACTGAGGAAGAGGAAGTTGAGGAAGATGGAGATCCCGAGAAACATGGGGATCATGGGGGAATTGATTGGAAATGGATAGTTATAGGTGGAACAGTGGCTCTGGTTTGTGGATTCCATACAGGAGTGATAGGAAGGGCCTTGTTACTTGGAGCAGGGCAAAGAGTTGCTCGGAGATAGAGATGAGATCTTCGGTAAGTACTAAATATGCGTACGAGGTCTATTTTACAGATCTGTGAGAACTTATTATAACTATGAGATTTTGGTAATTACTTTTTAAAAAATAAAATAAAAGTCATATGCAAGTTTAAAATATTTCATAAAATGTTAATCCGAAATTTGAGGTTGTTGGGAGATTTGGGATGGAGATCTTCTCTATTACTTTTTTACACAATTTTATGCAATAGGAAATTACGCATCGTGTATTCACGTGAGATTTATTATTTATATTTGTGCTCTTCACTCATATATGGCGGGTGATTTACCTTTGAGTGAAATTGTGTGAAAAAGTAATTGAGAGGATCTAGATCCGGGGATATGGGGTCAAATGTTAGTAGGAGGCTTATTCTACTATGCGGAAAGTAGCTTTTGTTATTCAAAGCTATGTGACGATCAGATCACAATGAAACAATTGGTGAATTCGGTTCACGGCAGAGGTTGGGTTGGAGTTACTTATCTTTATACCAGAGACTGGGCAAGACTGAAGAAACCGAAGGCCCATTGTCGTAAACAAAACCTATAGTTTGGAGTTCATTTCACAGGGCACTAGGAAGATGATATTGTTCAGAACTTGTAGTCACTCAGATATATCAATGACTTGTGGAATATGGTAACTGGTATGAGGTTCGTAGGCTTATTTTTTAGGTCTGTGACTTATGTTGAGCTCGAAGCATAAAACCCTAACAAGCGGAATTATCGAAAAATTGTAAATGTAGCATTGTCCTCATTTACTTATTTGGTTGCTATTTATAATTTTCTTACAGGACCTTGTGGTATTATTGGTTCCCATAGAATGTCTTTCATATATCTCATGTGAGATGCACGTGGTATGCTTATGTTATCCAATTTGATCTTTGCCCTCGATTGGACTATTTAAACATTAAATAAGAGACTATTCAATTAACAAAATTAGTAGTTTTTTGTTTTTTTTTATCAAACAAAATTAGTAGTTGTGGAACCTTAAAGACTGAAGAATATTTAGTCCTTGGTAAAAAATTGCATTAAAAAGAATAATATGTTTCAATTTTGGATTTGAACCATTCTCTATGATGTTAGCATCCCATGTTAGGAGTCTGACATTTGGTCTAATAGTATTCTTTGTCTTGTGAAATCTTTACCTTCTTGAAGTTAAGGGTACAAGGAGTCTAAATTTTTTGCTGTATAGCAGATGTGTTATTCCTTGAAACGAAGTCATTTTACACCAAAGCGATATGGTTTTATATAATAAAATGATGTTGTTTTGATGTGAACATCGTCGTTTTGTCGTTAAAAAACTATGAGCAAAGGATCCCGATTCAGGGTGCATGTACCCCTCCCCCTCCCCCCACCAAAAAGAACTGTCATGTTTGAGATCATGTTATTAATAGTTTAAATGAATTAACACTAATATGATTTGTTTATTATCAAGAGTCATTCCTCAACACGCATACAACTCACTTAAACCTGTGTTTGTGTCCTACCACTGAACTTCTTCGGTTTTTGTCTTCAACGAATTTGGTTTACAAGAGAGAGTAGTAAATATGACGGGGTGAGACTCAAACCAGAGTGGCTCGTACAAACCCCTCCCTCTCAGAGGGGGAAAAAAATAGACAGTACAAAGTTCTTAATAACACAATTAAAGAACAAGGAAAAAAAAACACTAGACTTGGGAGGTTCCATGGACAGTCAAACAATCAAGAAGAAGAGGCTTCTTTCACTATGACTCTCTGCTCATCGCAAAGAAGTCTCTCTCACCATGAGAGCCATCACAAACACCAACTCTATCTTCTGTGCTGTCTCACCCACTTGTACTTGATCTTTGTAGTAGCCTATAAAAACATAGACATGTATACAAATCACAAAAATAATGTATGACAAGATTAAGGAAGACCACGAGCTGTCGTGGCAGGATAGATCCACTGTCGAATGGCAAAAGACAGTAAATGACCAATGACCGCGAAAGACATCCAATAACTGTGGGGGGTAACCAACACTGCAAAAAAGCAAGGCACACCCTTCTTGTTGCTGGAATAGTTAAAACGGATCCTTGCCCAAAAAAGACGAGTGGCATCGTGAAAGTCAAATGGACAATTGTAGCGGATTTATTCGCGCGTTTAGGATGTCCTCTACCGAAGGATTATAGCTGGCATGGCGTAAGCCTACGCTTTGTGCCAGTAGCCTTTTTACCTCTCCGCCCGTTGAGAGCCAGTCCCACATCAGAAGAAAGCCGTCTCCCTCCCCTCGCATATAAGCATGGGCAGTATATGGAGGAGGTACCCACTAGGCCTTGTTCAAGTTCTACGTCAAGTTCAAGGCGTGTTATTGTGTTAAGTTTAAAATTTTCACCTTTAGTTAAGATGAAAAAAATATTTTTTTTAATTTAAAATTTTTATTTTTTAAACTTTTTAAAATTTATTTTTTTATTTTTTAAAATATATATACATATTTTACCATTATATTTTTATATAAAATTAATGTATACATAAGATATATAGACAAATAAGATACATCTCAATACAAATAATTAACTTTTCATCCACTTTCTTTCTGATTTTGGAGGGATTGATTTTGGTGAGTTGAAAGGAAAGTTAATCCATCTACTTTTCCATCATTCTTACTTTTTTTTTTTTTTATCAAATATGATATTTTTTTTTTATCCTTTTAATTTTTCGTCATTTCAACTTTTTATCATTACTTTTTCATCGTACCAAACAGAACATAAATGATTGAAAATATGTGAGGATCTTTGATTGGTCATGGAAGGGGTTCCGAAAGGGAAGGTGAGCATCGCAATACGCATGCACTAGGTGCATTATGAACATGACCTTTACGTGATCATGCTCCCTCAGCGACCTAGTTACAACCCTTCTACCTTGGTTATCCACTACACCACGGAGAATGTACCCTTCCTTGGGGGCTGAGTTCAAGTTGTATTCAAGGAGACATTATATTTGTCTAATTAATGCATGAGACATTTGTCGCGCAATGTGTGACTTTCCATACAAAAGTAGTCAATGCAGTTGTAGGTACACACGATTATCGTGTACGACTTTAACTCTTGTATAGAAGTAGTCATGGGCATCCTTAATTGCCTGAGTACTTGTGTTATAAATATTCTCATTACTTGTTCTTACAGTACACACAACTACCCAATCTAAGGTAAACATTTTAATTAGTGCAAAAATATTCACTAACTACACCTACCCATGAAATCTTTTATCCAAATTTGGTCCTACAATAAATATATAGTTCGAGTCCTTTCATCACTTCTTTTTATCATACTCTCACCTTTTGAATACATTGACATCAAACACGTGTCAATCTCTTTAACTCCCCACCTATAATTTAAATAATGTGTATTGAGATGAGCGAAAAGGCCAATTGACAATTTTGTTGGTTGATATTATTCTGAGAATAGGACCTTAAATTTTAACAAATTTTTATTCCATGTTTTAAAACGAAAAAATATTTGTAGGTACACGATGAAGAACACTTATTATAGTATGAGCAATGTTCTCGGAACATAATTTGAGTACCTAATGTCTAATTACTATCAGATCGGTAGTTCATCTCCAATTCTAACTGTTCAAATGATCGCAACAGATTTTTGAATGAGTTACCCAAAAAAAAAAATAAACAGAATTTTTGAATTTAATTCGATCAGTTCGATAGTCTGATAAAATCATGACCACTCGTAGGTCCTTAGAAATTAAAGATGCAATGGATCTACTGATTAACAGAAGAAAATGAAAAAAAATTCTTTCGTTATATAAAGATTCAAAGTACGGCATAATCAAAAAAAAAAAAAAAATTCATACAATATAGTTAGAAAGAGTTTGTAATGTTACAACTAGGTTAATTTCGTATTTGACATGATCATAACTCATTCATTATTCACATCACCAAATTCAATTAGATTTAACGTCGTATCGAAATATAGTTTTAGTATCACGTTAACACCCTAAATTCTACACTCATCATACCAAATTTTGTGGTCGACTCTGATTTTAGATCTTAAAAGCCATTATAGGACTAAATCAACTCATATCACTCGAGGTTAATGGTTAGCTTAATGATCGTTATTCTTAAAATCTCATCATTCCCTCTTTATAATAATACCACTTAAAAAAAAAATTGATATTACTCCTTGCCAAACTTTATTTGTAGTCTCATTTTTGTCCCCATTATGCTTCACTAAGGTAAACATATCAATCAAGTACTTGTAGTTTTTTCTTTTAGTGTCTTACATTCAACCACTAATCATTTTCTAATGACATGTAATGGTCCATAATGTCTCTTTGGTCATATTTTAGGGAGTTTCTTAATGGTTTTTCCTTTGACTTAGAAGCCCCCAAAAGCTGCCCTTGGTACATCTTCCCTTGCATATAATATATAATGGAAATCTCAATCGGAGATTTTAATTAGTGGGAATTAATAATTTAGACTAAATTATTTATATACCCTTCATGTGATTTGTTTAAGAAATGGATTCAAATTAGAATTGGTCACAATTTTTTAGTATTGTTTAGAACAGAAAAACAATAGAAAAGATAGAGAAAGAAGGTTCATAGAACTGTTGAACGTCCTTTCCCATAGCAACCCCCATACCCCTTCAACCCCCTCTTTGTTGCTAAACTATCCTCACAATCCCAAACCTCTTAATAAAAATACCCAATCTCTGTCCCTCGATGAGATGTGTGTGTGTGTGTTAACAAGAAGATGAGGAAGACGAGGAGGGCCATTTGAATTTGGTTTGAGTTCTTTCAAAAGATAGAGAGATGTATGGATGTGATTTGACTTGGTCCGTGTGAGATATTATCTTTGTATATGTAGGAATTGTCTTATATTGATAACAAAAATAGAAAATAATCATATTTTTAGTATCATTTTTGTCAATATAAACACCCTTATTTATTACTTTAGTAGTGTAAAAAAGACAAAAAAGATCTGGTCTGCGAGATTTAAAAGGCGTGTAATCACGAGTCCTCGGGTTCACGTGCACCGAGGGACGGGGTTAACAGGACACGAATCAAGTTGGCCAGAACTATGGGCAATACAAAATATTTGTAGGTGTATAAATGTAATTAAGAAATCATAAATAAAGAAACATGTTGAAGGAGAAGTTTGTAGCATGATAGATTAGTCAATCTGTTTTGACCACCAGAAATTGCTTTATATAGGCAATAGCTTGGATAGTCATTATGGGTTTTAAAGCCCTAACGGCTAGTAACTTACCGTAGGTCACAACTAAGCAGCCTAGCCTTACCATTGCGTTCCCAAAATGGCATATGATCCATTTGTGCAAGCTAGTATTTTTGAGTTAGATAAATTTAGAGGGCTTGTGGTCGATTCATTTGATCTATATGCTGTCTTCCCATAAATGTGAGTATAGATCGTAAATCATCTCTTTGTGAATATAAATAAACTCTCTATACCTTTGCTTCTCGTGCACGTTTCACTGTAGAATTCTTCCGGTGGACATTGCGGGATATCATATTTGTAAAATCTATTAGATCCCATCAGTGTTCAGGGAGTATCACTATCAGTCAACTAATGTGTGTATCATCATATTGTCTTGACTTGTGGTTTTAAGTGTCATTCACCTTATTTTATTAAATCCATGTTAGCTTATGTGTTTCTCCCAAGAATAGTTTGTGTTTCAATTACCATGGCAAATGTTGACATGGTTGATTTGGCATTTCAGAGTGGCCTACCAAGGATATGCCGGACTGACGATGAATGCGGACACTGATTGCATCGCATCGATTGTTCAATCTTGTAT